AAATAATTCACTGATTCTCTCCAAGCTGAATTTTGAAGGACCAGATGTAGAAGCAGTAATGGAATTTATTCCCTATCACAAGGGATTTGAGGCATTATGTTGTGATTGGCTTATTTGGAAATGTTTCCTTTTGTTTGGCCAATTCTAGCCTACATCAAAAAAAGCGTAGGCACACTTTGCAAAGAGGTTCCTGGTGGTAAAGGCTCCATGGGGCTTGAGTCTCTCAGTGGACACTTTTGTCAGCTCGTGCTTGGGATTTTTAACACTCTGGAGTGTGTTTCTTGGTTCTGAACTTTGGTGGGCTGAGGCACATTGAGGGCTCTTCCAGATGGTTGGGAAAATTTTACTGACATATGGATCCTTGAGGCCAGGTAGAGATATATCTTGAAAGTATCTGTTGTGTTATTCTCTGTGTTTAGTTACCTTTGGTAATACTCTTAATTTTCTTCTTATGTAAACATTTTTAGGGTGGCCAACTGTCCTGGGTTTCGGGGCACTGAGAAAGTCCCAATTTCCACTCTATCTTCTAGCTTGAACTTTAATGTCCACTCATGGGCTGGAGTTCTCCAATGAAACTGGTAGCCCTGAGGGCACAATCCTGCTAGCTGTTGTGCATGGTGGGACATCCCAAGGGCAAGTGTGGGCACACCTGTGTAGCTGTCAGGGATGCCCACTGGGACACTCTGTCTGCATTGCTGTCCAGCTCATTTCTAGGCAAGGTGATATTGATGAAGCTTGCATGTTTCATTTCCCTTCATTCAGCTCTTCAACTGCAGCCTTTGCATAAGTTGTCCTATTTGCTTGAAACATCCCCTCTGCTTTATATACACTGGTCCTCCCCCTATCATCCCTATCTAATCCTTGCTTATCTTTCAGCTCAGTTGTTAATTTCCTCAAAGATGTCTCTGATACCATCCCCACCTTCACTTCCACTCCTGGGTGAGATTAGTTCTACCTGCTTGTTTGCTTCCTAGGTCTCCTTCCCTTCCCTTCCCTCCCTCCCTCCCTTCCTTCCTCCCTTCCTTCCTTCCTTCCTTCCCTCCTCCTTCCTTCTTCTCTTTCTCTCTCTCCCTCCCTCCTTTCCTCTTTCTCTCTCTCTCCCTTTCTTCTTTCTTTTTATCTTTATCTCTTTCTCCCTCCCTTCCTTCCTCCTTCTTTCTTTCTTCCTTTTTCTTCCTTTCTTTCTCTCTCCCTTTCTTTTATTTTCTCTTTCTTTCTTTCTATTTTCTTTTTCTTTTTATTCTCTTTTCTCCCTCCCTTGTTCCTCCCTCTTTCTTTCTTTCTTTCTTTCTTTCTTTCTTTCTTTCTTTCTTTCTTTCTTTCTTTCTTTCTTTCTTTCCTTTCTTCCTTTCTTTTCTTTTTTTTTCTTCATTAATTTTTGGCTTTCCCTCCCTCCCTTGCTCCCTCTCTCTCTCCTTTCCTCCTTTCCTGCCTTCCTTCCCTCCTTCCTTCTTTCCTCCAGCATCCTGGGATTTTTTTTTCTTACAGTATTTTGACCTCCTAACCAACTGTAACCATCATGTATTGCTGTGGGAGGGAGTGAGGAGGTAGGAGAAGGTGGGTGTGGTGAAACAAGGCACTCAGTTTGGATTTCTCATGCTAGTCTGAGTGACTTACCCAAACAACAAACCCTGTGGGGATGCCACATCATGAACTGTTTCAAGAAAACACAATGCGAGATGTGAGGTTTGGAGCAATTTCTGTTAAGCCTCCTGTCCCTGGGGTCAGCAATGATAGCTCAGGACAGTGACTGATGGCCCTTAATATTGCCTCTTCCAGGAAACCATTTCAATTACATTTGTCATTCTGCACATACACATATGCATGATTATTTTGGACAGATTTCTGTTTCTAAAAGTTAATAATATATGGTTGTATACATGAATACATTAGGATTAGATGGAAATTAACATACCTAACATACGTCTCCCTTTCCAGAGCTGGATTTAACTAACTGAGTACTTTCTCCAAGTCGTCTCTCATCCCCTCTGAGGTTCTCATATTAATTCCTTATCCTCTGCACCCAGCATTGCACATTTCCTCCTCTGTCTCTTCCACCAGGCTTTGAGCCCCCAGAGGCAGGGACTATGTGTTTTTATCACTGTAGTTCCAGACTGTACTCTGCAACCTGGCACATAGTAAATGCACAATGAGCATATGTTTGTTGAGGATTATAGCCCTTGTCAAAAACCTTAAATGGGTCCTTGTTTCCTCCTCTGAAATAGGCCAACTGCTGACCGGTATTAAAGACCTTGCACAGCTTGGCCCCAGGTGACCTGTCTTCCCTTATCCCCCATTTCTCTGTGTGCTCTGTGCTCTGCCCAGACTGGACTCCATGTCTTCTGCCTTCTGATTTTTGCCTGTGCCATGGGTGTCAAAGCTCTTTGTGGCATGTCTGTGTTTTTTGCAATGTCTAGCTTAAGTACCATCTTTTCCAGGTAGCCTTTAGTGAAGTCCTCAGCCAAACAGCATTTCTTCCTGCTCTTTGAAATAGTCACTCATCTTTGCTTATGGCCCTAAGGATTCATCTGGGTTTGTAACTATTGACATGGATGTCTTATTTCTTCTGCTGGAGTCAGAACAATTCTAGAGCAAGTCTGTATGACTTTTCTGCAATTCCCATGGGCGTAGAATAGCTAGAAGAAATACTTCCAAAAGTGAAAAGACTTGAAGAAATTCTAATTAATTTTTTATTTTTGAATTTGCTTTAAGAAATAAAATAAATTCTTATACTGGGTGCAGTGGTTCATGCCTGTAATCTCATCACTTTGGGCGGCTGAGGTAGGAGGATCACCTGAGGTCAGGAGTTTGAGACCAGCCTGGCCAACATGGTGAAACCCTGTCTCTACTGAAAATACAAAAAAAAAAAGCTGGGCATGCTGGCAGGTGCCTGTAATCACAGCTATTCAGGAGGCTGAGGCAGAAGAATTACTTAAACTGGGAGGTGGAGATTTGCAGTCAGCCAAGAGCATGCCATTGCACTTCAGCCTGGGCAACAAGAGTGAAACTGTCTCAAAAAACAAAGAAAAGAAATTCTTAAAAAATATTAATTATTCTTTGTCATAATAAAGAGCCTATCTTTATTTCTTCCGTGTGTGTGTGTGTGTGTGTGTGTGTGGTGTGTGTGTGTATTTGTTTCTATTTTTCACTTTCTTCCTACAACTATGAGGAAGTAATAATCTCTCTCAAATACTGTTAGACCAAAGGCTTGTTTGGAGAATCAGACTGTTCTTTGTTTTAGACCCTGGCTGCTTGCTTCCAATTCTCAACTCTTTCCACGTGGCAGACCACCAATAAGGAATAATATTCCTACTCCATTTGGATGAATCCTTCTCTTAATCCCTTCCCTCTGGGATTTGATACTAACAGGTTTTAAAAAAATTTATACTTCGACATGATTGAGTAAATTTTCCCTTAAAATTGGGAAAAGACAAGATTTTTAACTAAGAATTTTGCTTTTGCATTAGGTTTATACTACATTAAGATATATATGTGTATCAAATAGAGCTATGATATACTGTAAATATACATTACTCTATTTAAAAACCTAATTCTGAACACACAGTTCTCATGAAAAATTATACTACCTTGAATGGAGACCTTTCTTTCTTTTAAAAAAAATACATCCTTTTTATTAAGTCATAGAGAGGTATCAAAACTAAAAGCAAAAATTACATGGTAAGACTTAACAAAACTACTAGGAACATCAAAGGAAATTAAAATGGGACTAGGTGCAGGGCAATATGAATTAATGAACACAGGAAGGACAAGAATGAGTAAAACAGTGAGCGTGTGACGAAGATACTAGGGGAGAGGATCTGGTGAAAAATTTGATCTTAGACTAGCACCTAGGTAAAGAAATATTGGGATAAGATTTCTAAACCCCACTATGTGCTTAAGAATCATCTGCACCATTGGCGCTGTCTCTGTCATCCTCTCCTTCTTCAGCCTCTTTTTCACCATCCTTGATCAACTCCCCCAGATCATCTCCACGATCTTCATTATCATCATCATCCAGTAGGTCCCACTCCTCAGCAGAGTCATCCACAGCCCCTCAGACTCCACCTTCACATTAGTCTCCTTTTCTTCACGGAGCTGCTGCTCTGCTTTTCTTCTGACTTACTCTTCATCTCTACTGCTCGTTCGCTCTGTTCCTTTTCAGTTTTTCCCAAGTTTTCCAGGAGAGAATACACTTTTTGTTTTATCTGGTTCAACTCCTTCTTAATGGCCTGAAGGTCATCTCCTTTCAGCTTTCCAGACTTGGAAGATCCCTGCAGTCCGCTCTTAGAATTGAAGCCACTTTTACCCCTTCATGAGGTGTTTCCTGATACATGCTGTGGGCACTACAGTACGAGCAGGAGGAGGAGGAGGAGGTACACGTGCTGGCTAACTGTACATCCTGTCATCATAATCCTGTTGAAAGTCATAGTCCAAGTCAAAGGAGGAGCTGCGTAGAGGGGATGGAGAAGGGTATTCTGTTACTGACCCGAACATCCCTGCTGCAGATGGTTTCACACCTGCTTTTCCTGGGTTCACTTAGCTCTGCAGTCAGCTTAATGTCTAAAACCTGGCCAGCAGTCATTCTATTGTCCTCTCCTGCTACAGCAGCCCAGGCATTTCCCTCATTCACGTATTGAATGAAGGCAAAACCCTTATGAACAAAGCAGCTCACAGTTTTGCCATGCTTAGAAAAGATTGCCTCCACATCAAATTTCTTTACCATGAGAGTGTTGAGATTCCCAATCATTCCATCAAACCTCAACAAATGTTGATTGAATCTCTGTAATGTGTCTGGCATCATGCTGGGTGTGTGGTATTATGATGTGAAATAGAATTGTATCCAAAGTAATTCCTGCAATTTCAATCTTGAAACTAGAGAAGAGGAGCTTTTTTTTTTAGGACTAAGATTACAGCTGTCCTTTTTTAAGCAACCTGCATATAAAGAACTGTATGAGATGTGGCATGTGCCTTATAATTACAGTTTACTCTTCTGCTCCTCTGTGTTTGCTTCAGCAGCACATATATTAAAATTAACAATACAGAGAAGATTAGCATGGCCTCTGAACAACAGTGATATCTATACAAGGATGATATGAAATTTGTGATGAGTTAAAAAAAAAAGGCCAGTTGTAAGGGAAGGGAGAAAAGAAGGTGTGGGAGAAATGATAGAAGCTAAGCTTCTCTGTATATGCCTATCTTATACATTTGGCTTTGAGATCATGTGAATTTTCCATATATTTCTAAAATAAAATTAGATTTTAAAATAACAATCCATAAGAATAAAAAATAAAATAATAAAAGCAAAACAAACCTATGATTCCCATTGGTGGTGTTAACTGCATAAAGAAGAATTATTCTAATTGACTTTAATACACATGAATTTCACTGTAGGTCAGCATATCCAAGGATAAAATAACTAAATACGAGATTTAAAACTTTTTGCAGTGACCTTCTTGTTGATGGTAGCATTGGACTTGCTGTTATGAGACTGCCGTGTGGGTGATGTGAGACAAAGCAAATGAACAATACAAATGTGATCATCTGATTTTTTATTCTTGTGTTCTTGAAAACCCATATTCTTGATGTAGGAAAAAGGAAATAGAGAAAAAATAAGAAATTAGGTGAAAACTCTATAGTCCTAAAATTGAATTGTAAGTATCTATAAAAACTCCTGAGGTGTTTTTTCTTAAACAAAACAAAACCAGGACATATTTTCCAGATCCCGGTGGGTGATGAAAAATGAGAACACATGGACACAGAAAGGGGAGTACTAAACAGTGGGGTCTATTGGGGGGAAAAGGGGAGGGCCAGAGGGAGGGGGAGGTGGGGAGGGATAGCCTGGGGAGAAATGCCAAATGTGGGTGAAGGGGAGAAGAAAAGCAAAGCACACTGCTATGTGTGTACCTACGCAACTGTCTTGCATGCTCTGCTCATGTACCCCAAAACCTATAATCCAATAAAAAATTAAAAAAAAAAACAATCAGCAAATGGCCAACTTAATAGCAATGATCTAATGCCAAGGTCATGGTCTCTAAACACCATGTCTCACTTAAAAGGAATGAGGATTCCATGGCAAAATTACTTATTCTGGGTCTGAGGTAAAAATATGCAAAATTAGCCTGGAACACCATGTAATTAACAGATAGCAAGGAACCTGTCAAGAGTGCTAGAATCTCATCAAAAGGACTTAAGAATCAACTTGTCAACACTTTTATAAGCAGAAATTGGGACAGTTTGAGGCCAGGCATGGTGGCTCACACCTGCGATCCCAGAATTTTGAGATGCTGAAGCGGGTGGATCCCTTGAGGTCATAAGTTCAAGACCAGACTGGCCAACATGGTGAAACCTTATCTCTACTAAAAATACAAAAATTAGCTGGGCATGATGATGCATGCCTATATAATCTCAGCTACAGGAAAATTGCTCAAACCTGGGTTGCAGAGGTTGTAGTGAGCTGAGATCCTGCCACTGCATTCTAGCCTGGGGGGAAAAAAAAGAAACTGTGATAATTTTAGCATAATGAAAGCAAAAGCTGCAAAGGGCTTAAGCATATCAACAACTATATTTAAATCCCTAAGTTAATAATGATACTAAAATGCATGAGTCAATGTTGGTGGGTGCTCAGGAATCAACTTGTTTCATTGAAAACAAATAGAAGGAAAAAACCCCAAATATTTATACTGCATTTTCTATATGAGTGCTATCACTGGGTGACCAAACAGTAAATAAGAAAAATTTGTGTTTACAGAAATATTCTGATTAATAAATAAAGAAGGGATGATAGAATGAGAATGTCATTATTTTGCAACCCTGGTAAACTGATCTATGAATTGAATATCAACAGCCAATAAAGTCACAAAAACAGAGACAGAAAAATAGCATACATCTTTTAATGGAAGAGCCCAGCACTACTCATGCAGGATTCTTGCCTTCTATGGTGCTCCTCACCCTCCCCCAAATTGAGGCTTAGATCAAACTACCCATTTATGAGAATTGCAGTGTACAAAGAAATATATTAAACTAAATCATGGGTTGCAACCACCAAACTCCAGACAGTGGGAAACTTTACAGGACAAACAATTCAGCTTCTTCAGCAAATAAATTGCAAAGGAAAAAGAAAACTAGATAGAGAACCAAAAAGATTAAATGAGACTTAAAAGATGTATCCACCAATTGCAATGCGTGGCCCTTATTTGGATCTTGATTTAAATGAACAAACAAACAGACAAAAAACCTACGATGTTTCTTAGAAATGTCATAAATGGTGTTTATGACCCACCATTTGTGATATTTATAAGGAAATTGCAAAATTAATATTTTGTTGTCAATGCCTAATTTCTAAGGTGTGAAAACAGTATTGCAAATATGTTAAAAAGCATATTTTATGAATTCACATGAAAATATTTATAGTTGCTTCAAAATAATGGGAGTGGGTGAGTAGTAGAATAAGATTGGACTTGTGTTGCTGATTGTGGGGCTGGGTTATGGGTACTTGGGGTTCATTAGATTTTTCTGCCTACATTTATGTATATTTGAAATCTTGCATAGTGAAAGGTAAGAAAGTAACAATTACAAAACAGAATCACCAAAACAAAAATGAAACTCAACTTCACTGTGAATTGGATAGTGTCATTCCATGTTCTTAATATGAAAGTTGTGGCTTGGAGGAGCTAACAGTGTCACCAGGGCACAATCAGTCAATGACAAAGCAATTTCATACCTAGGTCTTTCTCAAGAGAAAACATGTTTGGCCTGGTGCAGTTGGTCATGCTTGTAATCCGAGCACTTTGGGAGGCCACCATGGCCAACATGGCAAAACCCCATCTCTACTAAAAATACAAAAATTAGCTGGGTGGGGTTGGCGCACGCTACTTGGGAGGCTGAGGGAGGAGAATCAATTGAACCCAGGAGATGGAGGTTGCCATGAGCCGGGATCACGCCACTGCACTCCACCCTGGGTGACAGAGAGAGACTCTGTCACATTAAAAAAATAAAGAGAGAAAACATGTTCACTTTTATTTTGCCATACTAGATTGCATACCTAAAATTAAATAACGCAAATTCAAAAATATCAAATTCACAGGAAAAAATTAATTAACAGAAAAGCATTTTATAATTAAATATTTCTTCCATAGATATTTCTTAAATGTTTGGTCCCTGACCTCATTGCCACTTTAAAATAAGATATATAATCATATTTAATTAAGTTCAAACTTATGTGTGCAGTAATTTAATTTCTGAGTATTCCATGAGGCTTTGTAAAAGCATCCCCATGATACTGCACACATTCTGACACCAGAACCTGTTTGAGAAGTATTGATTTAGAGGTTGGTAGCAAAAGGTTTTTTGAATTTTCGGCACACACAAAGGTTAGAATCTTTCAGTGGGCATTATATTCTGAATAGCCATGTTAAGAACTAAACTATTTTAATGACAGAAAGTACGTCCCGCTGTTGGCGGTGAAACTGTATTACCGTTAGCATATTTTACAAATTGAGTCTATTTTGTGTTCTAACTTGAAGCAGCTTTACTTCCTACCCCATTACAGGATAGTGCTTTTATAACATAAAATAAATGTCCCCAATTAAACTCATTTTAAGAGATGGATTTATAATGCCATGAACTTGGGGCAAACCTTTAAAATGTTTTAAAGCATATATTTTTTAAAATTTTAAACCTTAAATTATTCCACTCATGGTTTTTATGTTAAAAAATATTTCATTAAACTTGCCAAATTTTATTGTAAAATACTTGAATAAGAAGTCTAAAAAATAAATGCACAAAACGTTTTGTTCTTCCCTGGGTTCAGATGATGAGTATGGGAAATATTTTTTCTGTGCAGCTTAGTTAGCAATTCTTTATGTTGTTATTTTTTGTTATATTTCATTTAGAAGCAGCATATATACCTTTTAATTTAGCAAAATTGGCCCTACCTGGGATTGGAACAGTTTGGCAGAACTATAGGAAGTTACCCTGAAGTTCCATTTTCTCTGCCAGATGTGATCTTGCCATGACTTGATAGCTGTCTGTTAGGCCCGACACTTGCCACATGGCACAGGAAACCTTGTTTCAAACAACCAGAGTTTATCAGCAACTCATTAAACACCTGGCATGTCTTACCGTTCATGAGCATTGAGTGGTGTTGAACCTCACAGTCACATTGTCCCATCAGCACATGGAGAACTCTGACGCCTCAGACTCAGAAGCTTCTTAGTAAAGGATTTGGGTGAACAAAGTATATTTCCCCAAGGGTCTCTGAGAGCCCCTGTTCAGCTCCTACTCAGTTATAATCCAATTCTACATAGATTAACTTCTTTAAAGAAGTATAAACAGTATATCACAGAGCCTAGTACATGTTCCATAGTTTGAGAGAAGGGGACCTCCAATTCTCTAAACACTTAGATATTGCATTTCACTGAAGTAGATTTACAACAAGAAACCTAGGAAACACAGGACACTAGCAGATTTGTGTTTTTTTTTCTTGAGATGGAGAGTTGCTTTGTCGCCCAAGCTGGAGTGCAGCGGCTCAATCGTGGCTCAATGCAACCTCCACCGCCCAGATTCAAGAGGTGGAGCCTCTAAAGTAGCTGGGACTACAGGTGTGTGCCACCACGCCCAGCTAATTTTTGTATTTTTAATAGAGACAGGGTTTCACAATATTGGCCAGGCCGATCTTGAATGAAACTGCCTTAAACTTATGCAGTGAAACAGGCTGAAATGAGCAAAGATGAAAAAAAGATGAAAGACATAGTTTCCAAATGAAATCAGGAGGCAGGAGATGTCAAGCATTCTGGATTCAGCAGAGAATCAGATTAGTGAAAACAAATTCAAAAAGTTCAGTTACAGAGGATAAGGGCAAGGAAATAAAATCGAGAAGACTGTAGCTATGTTAGACAGATCTCAGATATCCAATGTGAGTACTCATAAAAGAGAGAAGAGATCAAATGGAAGAGAGGAAATTCAGTAAATGCTGTAAGACATTTTTGATTTACTAAAAGCTTTTATGAAAAAAATTTAAAGCTATCATTAAATAAGCATGTCAGTTATAAGATATATTGCATTTTGATTTCAAAAAATGAAAAAAGATAGGAAGCAGCAATTTA